TCCATGGTTGCGATCCCCTCCACGTAACACTTATTCCTCCCTGTAGTTCCTCTTTCCATTCCTCCTCCTTCCCCCACCCTTCTGAATTGTGCTCCCCTTTTGCTCTGGAATGGTTGACCATTCTATGGTATGTGAGACTCATTGGTGGTGGTGCCCCTCCCTGGTGCCTATCTGCTGCTTGGCTGGGGTGAGTTCAGTTCTAGACCTGAAGGGTGACCAAGGGCCACAGTCTTGGGTTCCTTCTGTCTGTTTCTGACCAGTACATCCTCTCCCTTAACTCTTGATGGTGGCCCGCAAGACTTGGCATTCTCTGGCTCATGGGTGTATCACCCCATGGGTAGAGATTCATCAGAACAAAACATGCTAAAGCCCACTGGCTCACAGCCACCCTGTAGAGAGTCTCCAAGGCTATAAATCTAATAGGAAAGTGGCTGTAGGTCCCACTCTTCAAGATAGATTAAAACAGGAGGCTACCTCCTTATCCAGAGCAAGAGGCCAACTAATCAGATCTGGAGGGGCAACATCTTATAACGTGTACAAGTGAAGTCCTACCCCCACCAAACCGTGGGATTTGCTCAGGTGATTGCCCCTCTCCTGCCTCAGTTTCCACCCATGAATCCTGATCATTAACTCACAGAGTTCTTGAAAGAATTCCCAGCAGCCTTGGGGTCAGCAGTGCTCACAGGACCTGGCACAGGCTCTGTAGAGGTGGCCAGGGAGCACCTTTCAGGTGGCTTTTACTATTCAGTGTAAACCACAGGGAATCTCTTATAAAGAGAAATACAATCACCGATCCCATTCTGCTAGGAGACCGGACCTTGGCCTGTCTGGGAGCATCACACACACTGCAGAGTTGGGCAGGAAAGAAACCTCTCTCTGTGTCCAGTCCCAATCCTATGCCCACCACAGAGCCATGCCCCTTTTCTTCCCAGTCTCCTTGCCCCTTGTGTCCATGTAATGACTTAGGATTTTCCTCTGTATCTATTTCTCCTTTTCATCCTCCAAGCAGCTCCGAAGAAAGCTTATTTTTATCTTTCCCTTAATTCCGACGGAAGAGGCAGCATGTTTTACACATTGCTTTGCATCTTGAATGTTTTCATTAACAATATAGCTCAGAAATCTTTCCACAGCAGTGAGATCAGGGCTTCGAACTAGTTCAACCCAGCTCTCTCAGCCAACGAAAGTGACTATGGAGTGGGCCCAAATTTTTAAAATGTGGAGGAACCAGAGAGCTAACCAGAACGGGAGAAATTTTAGGTCGGAGCCCTGCTAGAAAGTTAATTTCCCTTTTAGAAAACAAGGGCAGTGTGTGTGTTGTGTGTTGTTGTTAAGTACCGTGGAATCGATTCCAACTCATAGTGACCCTGCATAGGGTTTCCAAGGCTGCAAATCTTTACGGGAGCAGAAAGCTTCATCTTTCTCCCATGGAGCAGCTGGTAGTTTCAAACTGCAGACCTTGAGGTTAGCAGCCCAATTCGTAACCACTACACTACCAGAGCTCCTTGTGTATTGTGTAGCAACCCAGTAATTTTTTTTTTAACTTTTTATTGTGACTTGAGTGAAAGTTAATAAAGCAGATCATCTGTTTTACATTCAACAAATCATATGCTTTGCTCCACCTCATTGATTGCAATCCCCTCAACATAAAGCCACTTAGCCCACGTTCTCTCTCTGAGGTTCATTTCTGTTCCCAACTCTTCTGAATCTTATTCTTAGGGAAATGCTGCCCTTTTGCTCTGGGATGGTTGACCATTCCATGGCATGCGTACCTCACTAATGTTGTCCCCCCATATGCCTATCTGTTAGTTGGCTGAAAGTTGAGTTGTGGGGGTGAGTTCAGTTCTAGACCTGAAGTGTGACCAAGGGCCAGAGCCTGGGGTTCCTCCAGTCTCTTCTGACCAGTAAACTTGATCTTTTTGATCTTATTTCCAACTTACTTCCACTTTATCCAGGACCTTTTAATGTGATCCCTTGCAGGGCAATTGTAGAAACCAAATCTCTTGATCTGCTGAGTTGTAAACAACGGTGCCCCACTCAAAGATGGCGGCGACCGCACCACTTTGAATGTCTGTCGTTCTCCAGAGTCTGGCCGGTGATGCAGTCTCCTGCTTCGGGCTCCAGAGCAGGCTCACTGTGCCACTCCCGGGTTTCCACCCACAGTTTTTCCTGTTCCAGTTAGCATTCCAGATCACCCGGGTTCTTAAAACTTGGGTCTGTTCCAGTTTCTCTTTTTCAGCCATAACTGAATTGGTTTGAACCATTGCAAAGCCCTGCTTCATTGCAGATGGACATTTTAAATACAGCCTCCAAGCTAGCTCTTTTCCTTCCTTACTACTATTGTTAGCTATCTTCGAGTTGGCAGCCGCACTTGCTATGGAAGAAAACACAGGCGGAGTCTGGCCCCACCTCTGTGGTCGGCAGTAGATGGGATCTTGTGATCTGTAAGCTTTTCATTGATTGTTTCCAGAGGTGTAGATCACCAGACCTTTCATCTTACGTCTGTCTTAGTCTGGACACATGGAGTTGCCATGAGTGGCAGTGACTCACAGAGTGGGCTGGGAGAGAGCGTTTTCACGATTGATCTTTTCATACAACTTTTAAATTTCCTTGGCCACGTGAATGTGGAATACCCATTTGGGATGGAAAGGGACTCGGACAGGCTGGTCCCCTGTGGGCCCCGTGTCCTGCGTCCTGGAGCAGGACTGCTTGGCCTGAGACTCATGAATGGACGGGAGTGTCTGTGAGTCCTCTGAGAGTTACACAGAACTGTGCGCATGTGACTGCACAGATGTTATTCAGCACACTGGGGGGAGGGGGGAGTCTGTTTTACATGTGACCTGGAGGACATGGAACACCCCCCTAGGTCGCACACTCAGGCATCCCTGCACCCAGACTCTCCCTCAGCTCACTCACTGAAAAGGGAACCTATATTGGAAGTAGAGGGCCCTCCGGAGGGCCCAGTTCCAGACTTTCCTCTGTGCGCACACCAGGGAGTTCTGAGGAGTCAGCAGATGGCTCAGCTGGGCCGCGGCCCCTGAGACCTTGTACACGAGGCTCCATGACTTGTACAGGCCGAGGCATGTCCCTGTGCCCCATCCTGTGTTTCGGGGCTCAGCAGGATGATGGCACCTCCCACACCTCATGGTATTTTCCACTCCAAAGTTTACTGAATGTCTTTTTAAAATTTTTTTTTTTAAAAGGTAGAATTAATATTTTATTGTCATTTATAATCAGATGGAAGTTGGGCATATACTTGATTTTTCTTTCTTATAAATAAAAAAATTTTATAAACAGCTGATGGCTGGTTATGTTTTCGGAAAACATAATTAACATTATTTGTTAATAGTAGCTTCAAGTTTTTCCTTATTAGACGAGATTGGGTGCATTCAGGGTGATATGGCCATAGACAAGTTTTTCTTTATTGTTGTGAAGTGCCATTGAGTCGGTTCTGATCCATAGCGACCCTGTATAGGGTTTCCGAGGATCAGCTGGTAAGCTTGAACCACTGACCTTTTAGTTCAAACAGCTTTGCAGTCTGGTGCGTTAATCCACAGCGCCACATTAGTACCAGAAAATTCACCAACCTCCTCCCCCATTTTATAAAACTGAAATGTTGGCATGCATTTGACTTCACACTCTGAAGCAACATCCTGACAGTATCCACATCAACTTCAGGGAACACCATATTGCCAAACTTTTTGGAGAGGGAATGAGAGAAAGATTTGATCACGTTGCAAGGGCCACACCATGTGGCTGAGAAGTCCACGACTCTGAGCTTCTCTCCAGCCTTGCTCGCGGCATCAGGAAAATCTTCCTTGCCTTCGATCTGCTT